TTCAACTCCTTTCCAGAAGTCAGCTTCAGCACCATAGTGCCCACTCCAGCCACATCAGTCGTGGAGGAATTTTCATGTATAGTTTCTGACCCTTAGCAGGAGTGTATTCAGAAAACACCTTCTTATCGGAACACACATGACGAGTGGCACCAGTATCGATGTACTACTCCCTTGGGTTATCCACCATATTGGCTTCAAACACCACAGCCGACATATCAAAGTCGATCAGTTCACCCGGCACAGGGCCGTGTTCAGCCACAAGGGCACTCGGTTTACCTTTATTTGTCCTGGCCTTCTTTGGCCTCTTGCAGTCTTTCGCTATATGGTTCGGCTTTCCACAGTTGTAGCAAGTTCCGGTAAACTTCCAAACCTTGGCTTGCTGCTTCCCTTTTTCAAGGGGCTTCCTCTTGCTCGAGTTGCCTTGGTCCAACAAGTTTAGCACGAGCCTCCATCATTGGGGTTTTCCCCGATGAATTACGATTGTCCTCCTCAATACGAAGACGAACAACCAGGTCTTCAAGACTCATCTCCTTCCTCTTATGTTTGAGGTAGTTCTTAAAGTCTTTCCAACCCGACGACAGCTTTTCGATTACAGCCGCAACTTGGACTGACTCACTCAGACACATTTCTTCAGCATGGATATCGTGCAAGATGAGTTCGAACTCTTGCATTTGAGACATGACAGTCTTTGAGTCGACGATCTTGAGTCAAGAAACTTGCCAATGACGAATTTCTTTGCCCCGACATCCTCAGTCTTGTACTTCTTCTCCAAAGCAACCCAAAACTCTTTGGCAGAACCAACAGAGCTGTATACATTGTACAACTCATTACTAAGTCCATTCAGGACATAGTTACGGCAAAAGTAATCACCTTGCCCCCAAGCCTCATACGAAGTGCGTAGTTCAGCATTGGTCTCATTTTCAACAATGACCGGAGGGTCGTCCTTCAGGTATTTTACCAAACCCAAAGTGGTCTGGTAAAAATGCATCTTTTGTTGCCACTTCTTGAAATCAAGCCCATTGAATTTTTCGGGCTTCTCAGCAGTAGGGACATGGACAGCAGGTACAGGATGATGATGAATAGCGGTGTTGATTTGCTGCTAAGTGTAGGAACCATCTTCAGTGGATGCCATCAGTTCAGTAGGTGTAACGATATTCTTCTTGCGATTGTTATATCCTAGGTGTAAAAATTACATGGGAATCCTACGAACTGATATGTAATTTTTCAGTTCTTACAAATAATCTAGAAATAGAAAATTACAATTGAACTGAAAAAAAAAATTACAACTGAAAAAGTAAAACAGAAAGAATTTAGCCGAGGCGAGTAAAACTCTTTCCGCAAGAAGAATACGCCCCGTGTGTTGCTAACGGTTCAGGAGTAACTTCCCCAAAGACACAACGGCAAATGTCTCTAAATCTGTAGCACACCAGATCTACGAGCTCCGGCGAACTGGAACGGAGTCGAGAATTGAGCACTTAAAAATAGGAATAAAAATATCTCTCTGGTATTTTTTTTTTTTCTATTTTTATCACTAATATTTTTAGGCTTAATTGCAATTAAAATCACCACCTTTACGCTTTTTGCAATTTAATCTCAACTTTAAGGTAATTGCAAACAAATCGCAACCTTTTTTAAATTTTGCAACCCGAACCCAAAGTTCATCGACAGCGAGCTCCTTACCTACGTGTCCGGCAGGCCGTCTCACGTGTCATCAGGCTTCGCTGACGAGGATTCCACAGTGTCACACACACTCTGGCGGGAAGGGTAAAATTGTAACTTCAACCCTTACAAATACAAAATGAGGGTGTATTGCATTTCAGAATCACAAATTAATCTGTAAAATTAGGGCATAACTGTTTCAATTTTCCGCCATTCATCACGATACAAAGACCGTTTCAATTTTTTCCCAGATGTTCTGGTGATTGCCGCGATTCATGAAGAAGAAATTGGCGCCAGCTGGTCGCGACATTCGTGCATCGGCAATGGGAAAAAACAGGTAGATCCAAAATTATTCTTCTAAATCTCATATGTCGGCCCTAAATTTTGTGCTGAAATTTTTGAATTTTAGGATTTGCCCTTGTTGTCCGACAGCAAACAATGGCAGAATAATATTTTTATGTTTGAATTCATGTTAAATTAGGGTTTTTTCATGATAAATTAGGGATCTGTGTGAAATCTGGTTTCCATGTGAATTCATGATTTTTTTATTAACATTAGAGTTAATACGAAATGAGGGTTGTATTGCAACTAGGGTTATCACAAAATTAGGGTTTTTTGCATTTTAGGGATTTTTAGTTATTTGAAGTTTTATTTAAAACTGAATTTATTTATAAGTTATGTCTACGATATGGGATTAATTATATCCCTATGTTTGATTGCAGTGAAAAATTTTCCCTCTTCTTCAACTGTGGTGGTACATTTATCAAGATTGGAGATTCAACTGAATACTATGGTGGGAATTTCAAGTCTGTGTATGGCTTAGACACTGATAGGTTTGGATACTTTGATTTGGTAGAAGAAGTAGAGAAGTTGGGGGTTAAGGAGTTTGATAAAATAATGTATCAAGATCCAGGGAAGCTGGGATATGCTGGTATGAAAGAGATAGTGGATGACAGTGGTGTTATGGAGATGATCAACACTGGCCATAAGCTTAGATCTGTAATACAGGTTTATGTTGCTGCTAGTAACCCTAATAAGGAAGATGGAGATGGTGTTAAAGTAGTTCATAATGCATCTGAAGGGAGTAACTCTGCAAACAGATTGGCAGATGGTGATGGTGATGTGAATGTTGGAGATAATGCAACTGGAGATGAACACCTAGATTCTGATGCAAATATAGATTATGATGATGATGCAAATGATGGAGATAAAGCAGTTGGAGGTGGAGTGCTACCAGATGTGGCTATGTGGTCTGATGAGGATAGTGCTGATGAAGATTATTTCCCAGTGGGTGTTAGCTCATCAGATGATGATCTGACTGATGAGGAACATGCTTCTGATGATGATGAATACCTTGAGGCCAGACAAAATTTGAGGAAATGTAAAAACAAGATAGTTGAAGAAGATGGTGGAGCAAACAATACATTCTCAAATTGTCTGCCTCAAATGGACTTGGATGGGTGTGAAGTGCTACAGCATGCTCTCATGTCTGAGGAGTCAGGCAGTGAAATGGAGATGAATGATGAGGAAAATTGCATTAAAAGGAAGCTGAGGGTTATTTATGATCCTAGGTGTGATCATAATGCTCTTCCGTTTGAGCTTGGTATGAGATTTGAGAGTATTGACCAATGCAAGAGAGCAGTGAGAAAGGTGGCCATTGTTCAAGGTAGAAATATCCAAAATATGAGAACTAATAAAAGGCAGTTAGAGGTAAGATGTGAAGATGGGTGTCCTTGGAGATTATATGCAAGTGCAGTTACAAGAGATGGTACTGTTGCTGTAAAACAACTCCAAGGGGAACACAAATGCCACAGAAATGTCCACACAAGGCAAGTAACAGCTGGCTGGATTGCTGAGAGTTTCTGGAAAAGTTCAGAAAAAATCCTAACATGACAATTGCTCAATTGGTAGATGTAATTTCTGACAAATATGCCATTGAACCTAGCAAATGGAAGCTTTACAGAGCAAAGTGGATAGCAATGGAGATGCTTAGAGGTTCTGTGTCAGAGCATTATGCTACTTTGAGGAGTTACATGTTGGAGTTGCAGAGGGTTGACAGAGAAGGGAAGTTTGAGTTTCTTTTGGGTGATCAATCTACATTTAGGGCCTTCTATGTAGGGTTTAGTGCACTGAAAAAAGGTTTTTTGACAGGGTGTAGGCCAATTTTGGGTCTTGATGGCTGCTTCTTAAAAACATTCCTTGGAGGAGCATTATTATGTGCCACAGCAAAGGATGGCAATAATCAAATTTATCCCGTGGCTTGGGCTGTTGTAGAAACTGAAAATGAGGAATGTTGGAGGTGGTTCCTGATGATTTTGTTTTCAGAGCTGGGGATAAGAGATGGTTTGGGATACACATTTATATCAGACCAACAGAAAGTAAGCTATTCTCTATAATGTTTCCTTCTGTTTTCTATATGTAAATTAAATTTAAACTTAATTAGTTGTCATTGTTACAGGGTCTTTTAAATGCATTGAGTGATTTGGTACCTCATGCTGAGCATAGGAATTGTGCTCGTCATGTGTATATGAACTGGAAGAAAAGCTTCAAGGGTGAAGGTTTGAAGTTTATTTTTTGGAGGATTGTGCTTAGCACTCATATGGGTGACTACAACATTGCACTGGGAGATTTGAAGGCTGAAGATCCAAATGCCTATGAGGACTTCATTAAAAGAGATCCATCTAAATTCTGTAAGGCTTTTGTTTCTCCCTTACCTAGGTGTGACATGATAGAGAACAATGTCAGTGAGACATTTAACGGCTTCATTGTCAAAGGTAGAGGACAACATATTATTGAAATGCTTGAATTTGTGAGGAGTGAGTTGATGAAAAGACAACATGGGAAACTTATGGAGTTTAGTGGTGTTACTGACAAAATTTGTCCTCGAATAAGAACAAAGCTAGAGCAGAACAAATACAAGTCCAGAATTTGTGTCACAAAGCCTGCAGTTGGAGACAAATTTCAGGTTGCCTATGAAGATGATCAATTTGTGGTTGAATTGAGAAGTAACACATGTACTTGTAGACAATGGGACATAACTGGAGTACCATGTGTACATGCTTGCTCAGCCATACATTTTCAGCACAAGGAGCCAGCAGACTTTGTTTCTGAATACTACTCAGTTGAGAGGTACTTGATGATGTACAACAACTTCTTGGAGCCACTCAATGGAAAGAAGTTGTGGCCAGTGGCAGAAGGCTACCCAATCAAACCACCTCCTTTCAAGAAAATGTCAGGTAGACCTAAGAAAAAGAGAAGAAGAGCTCCAAAGGAAGAGTTGAGATGTGGAACTAAGTTGAGAAGGTTTGGTTTAACTATGACTTGTCAAAGGTGTTTCCAGAAGGGACATAACAAGAAGTCTTGTACTAATCCCCAAGTTGAAAAACCTCCTAAGGTATTATAACTGATTATGTTATAATTGATTTTCAACTGATTATGCTATAACTGATTTCAATTACAATTATTGATAAAATCCAAGAGGGAGGCCAAAGAAAAACCCAGGACAACAATCAACCCAAGAGGAAGTTGTTGAAGCTGGGAGTCAGAATGTTGCTGCAGCTACTCAGACTCAGAGGAGAAACAAACTACCTATTAGGAGAGATGCCTCTTTGATACAAAAAGAACGAGCCTTGGTAAATCATATACAAACTTGTTTATGTGACAAGTCTTGTTTCTTTTTTTTCTTTTTATTCAATTAACTTGTACTCATGTACTTGGTTTGGTTATATTCAGGCTAGGAAAGGATATGGTATTTTACAGTCTGAGGAAACAGGGAATACTTATATGAGGGTATGTTTTACATAGTTATTGTCTTGTTCATATTATTGATAAATTAGTTGCAGTTGTGACTATTGCAGCTGTCTTTCTCTTATGTGAATACTTATGTGATGGTATTTTGTCATTTCTTTAATTTTCTTCTGTATGTGACTCTTGCAGTTGTCTTCTGAAAGAAGGGTGCATCTCATTCCTAGAAAGGATGCAAGTGGGTCAAGAAGCAAAGCAAGTGGATCAGGAAGCCAAGGTACTAGGAAAAGCAAAAGAGTTGAAAGTAGGAGTCCAAGAAGGAGTTCAAGACTGAGAGCAAGTGAACAAGTCTTGGGCACTCAAGAAAGTTCTGCACACAAAAGATGATTGATTAGGCTATTTGAACAAGTCTATGTATTTGGATAAGAATGTGTGATGGTGATTCTGTGTGTTTTGTCTTTTTGGTTTTGAAGATGGTTTAAGAACAGTACTGTGACCATGTTTTGGGAATTTTGTTGTTTGAAATGATGCCAAACATTATTCAGCTTGCCAAACACACATGCTATGAAACAACAATTGGTCTTTTGACAAAATGAGGTTGTGCATTTGTTAATTTTTTTTTCTGCTGCTGGTTGTGTTGTGTTGTGTTATGATCAACAAAATGAGGGTTATGGAATGACTGAATCATGTGGCATTGCCTCTCTTGGAGTATCTACTTATTGCAATTTTTGGTTGTTCAATTTAGGTGGATCTGAAAGTTATAAAAGCATTCAACAAAAAATAACAAACTTACTAATTCAAACTAATCAGTGAAAGTACTGCCCAAACATTATAATATTACACATAATCCATTAGTTCAACCAAAAATTACTCAAAGCATACTGCTTACATTACACATAATCCATGAAATCAAGCTAAAATTGTTCAAAACCTACTGCAAAAACAAATTACATTACACCTTAATTTCAGCATTTCATCATAGGATTACAGCTTCATTTCAACATCTTCATTCTCTGTCCCTTTCCATCCTCACCAAACCAACCCATAACAACAAGAAGAGTAGCTACAACCAAGCAAAAAATGAGAACATTCATCTTCTTTTCTAAGTTTTGCACATGAGTATCCAATGTGCTCTTAAGGGTCAACATAATTTCTGCATTTTTTTGAGCTACATCACCAAGCTCATTCACCCTGCTCTGAAGCTCCTCTACCATGTCAAAGTTTTCATCTTTCACTCCTGTATGCATTTTCTCCATGCCCAGCTTGCACCTTAGCTGTTTCTCTAAATCCTCTTTCTCTGCCTTCATTCTTAAATAACATGACTTCTGGAACTCGGGCATGGGCGGATCAATCCATTCAAATAAACCACAATCTACTATCTGCTACAAGATAAGTGTGACCTACAGCTCGAACAAAAGAAAAAAAAAAAACAAAAACTGAAATACTCCATCAACACCACGTATTTACCTTTCTATTTCGACACCGGTAGAACCTTCTACATGGATTATCGATCGTCTTCGATGAGCTGTTTCAAAGACCCAACATGCATATTTTTTTTGCACTGGGCTCTTTCATTAACTGATAGAAATGTCGGTCAATTCGCCATATTTTTTCCTGACCGAAAAATAAGATAAGGAGATGGAACTTCCTCTTTTGCAAGTCGTATGAAGAGCTACCTCTCCTTTTTCTAGTCCCTTGGGTTTTTTCCTTCACTTCGCTTCGAAAAGTTTGTAGGTGGAGGTTGGTTGAAGAAAAAGAATCAGAAAAATAAGAGTTTGAAACATTAAATATCTTGTCAATCTGGATTTCAGGGGAGCAGATGCATGCGATTTAATAAGATGATTGATACATGTGGGTTAGTGGATATGGGGTTTCCTTCAGTTTGTCTTGCTTCAAGCCAAGATCAAGCCCGCCACGAGGAACGAGTGGAATAAGGGCTTAACCTTCTACGGCTGCAAGCCACGACTGCAGACTGAACTTCGCTTCGTTTGTATGGTCGAGCGTTAAAAAGGTAACCTGCACGCTGAACTTTCTTCATCTGGTTTAGGGCTTTGTTGTCGAGTTGCTTTCCTTCGTTAAGGTAGTTGGTAATGTCAGGATGTCTGCCTCACCATGACGGCATCCCATTCGGCCGTGAAGGTTCGAACTGCCATTACTCTGAGAACTCTGGCTTCTGTTGGAAGAGAACGACATTTTCAGAGGTATGGGGACGAGCAACTCAAGTAGGTTTGCAATTGGGAAGGAGAAGCTCGGCAATTGGGAGAGGAGCTCGAAATTGGGGCGATACCAAATTTGGGCGATTTAGGCGATTAGGGTTCTAATAGGGAAGAATCAATTAGATGCGTTTTTATTTGAGTGTGTGTGACACTGTGGAATTCTCGTCAGCGAAGCCTGATGACACGTGAGACGGCCTGCCGGACACGTAGGCAAAGAGCTCGCTGCCGATGAACTTTGGGTTCGGGTTGCAAAATTTAGAAAAGGTTGCGATTTGTTTGCAATTACCTTAAGGTTGAGATTAAATTGCAAAAAGCGTAAAGGTGGTGATTTTAATTGCAATTAAGCCATATTTTATTCCCCAAATATTCTTTTGGGACTGAATATTTTTCTATCTCTCTTTCTTCTCTCTATATTCCTTTTCTTCCGTCTGGTATCTTTTATTCAGCAACTGAACACACATATTTATACTGAGAGATGAGGGTGCAAAAAATGATTATTCTAATTGAGTGGCCACTGACAAAGGAATGGGATTGGCAAATTGAGTTATGTGAAGAAAGTGATATGGGCATAGTGATAAGACACACAAACCAATACATAAGATAGGCAATTTTTGGATGCAGAGCATTTGAATTGGCAATTGGTTCAAGTGGTAGGTCCTACTCAATAATAAATTTCCCACTCAATTCTTACACCACAAACAAAAACTCTAGCTATTTAAATGATTGTTGCACCTGCACAAGCAAAGCGCACCACTGGGCCGTTGGGCCCCACCAACCTGTCCCGGTTTAACGGTTTTACAAGTTTTTCCCCGTGCAGATGGTTATGGACTAGTTTTGCTCCCCAGTTGTTCCATGCCTCAAGCCAGACCGATGTACTGACCGGTTCCCGGTTCTACCGATCGAACCAGCCGGTCTGGTCCGATTTTGAGAACCTTGGAAAATTCTCAAAGCATACAAAATAACTAGTAAAATAATAGTTATAAGTAATAGTGTGAAAGATTGACGTGTCAATAGATTTTAACATACTATATATGATATGTAGAGGTGGTCACTGGTCAAACCGGCTCGGTCACGCCATTGACCGCGGACCTTGAACTGGCCCATGGTTTTACCCGGGCCAGTTCAAGTTCATGTATTTTTAAAAACTGTTCGAAACCGACGGTTCGACGCCAAAATTTTAATTCAAAAATTATTATTTTTATTTATCTTTTAATTTCCCAGTTCGGTCCGGAACCGGCAAATCGATTCTAAATCGTAAATCGCCGTTTCAATGAACTAAACCCAGGCCAATTCCAATCTCATAAATGTGAACCTGAACCGGTGGTTCCGATCCAAAACAGGCCTAGAACCGGCATTTGGCCACGTCTAATGATATGTATTTAGATTGATGTGCCAATCTAACATACCATATCACATACATGATAGTTATGTGATTGAAATATCACACAACCTTCACAACATTTTAATATTTTTTTTTTCTCAAACATCAAATTCTATTACTACACCTCGAAAGTACAAACCGGTAATCAGCGGATTACAATTGATAACCTTTACTAGTCTAAACTAGAAAGGGAACCAAACGGGAGAAAAACACAAGTGTTCCCTTTCACGACCCACAAGAGCCCAAATAACCAAAATCAACAAAAACATCCACATCTGTGAGACCAAAACTCCACATGGAGAGAAAAGAAACAAAACACACACACTAACAAGAACACAAAATAAAATAAAAAACTTAATATCTAGATTAAAGTCCTCTCCACCAACGCTAAAACTCGCCTAGAGACCTGAAGCAAGCCAACACTCAAAATGACTACCCAATAGGGTTCCAATAAAACATAGAAACTCCATCACCGGCTAACGAGACCCGGACCTAAGACGAAACCCTAACTAGGAGGCCACCTTCAGACCAGCACCAGCAAAGACGAGCCACCTCCCCAGACCAATCGATAACCACTTCTAGCCACACAGACGCGCCACCGCCGCCAGTGGAGAGGCACCGTCTAACTTAATGCTTATCTTAAATGCATTTCGTAATCTATGTCAAATTGTCAATACAAGAAATGACAATGAGTCCAGAATTCATGATGCTACACAACTAAATTAGATGCAAATATTAACCTGTGCAACAATAATCAACCAACTGATTACAAAAACCAACCTAAACAAAATGCTGGTTCACACAACAATTTTAAAAACAAAATTAAAAAAAAAAAAATGCCAGATACATTATTCCTCGTACAAACTCGGCCATCAAAACTTCGTTTCACAAACACAGTTTAACGGAAATAACCATAAATCTCGAGGAAACATATGCACAAGTTCCAAGGGTTAGTCGTATCAGCAGTTGGAGCTGTCAGAACAACTCGAAAGTATCTAAAGGGAAGAAGCGCATTCGGGCCAACAACGGGCCACGATGAAAATTGACCGGGCTTGATCATCATCTCATCGTTCTCGTGTACTCTCAAGTTCGTCCAGCTGTTGCCATCCATCGAGCCCTATAATTTGGATCAAATTAAGTGGCACATAAAATGTGTAATAAATTAATTAGTAATTACCTTCAAAAAAATAGAACACAAAATTATCAACTCAAATCATTTGCTTCTATTGTAGCAACTAAAGGCGTGACTCTTTGTCTAGCATCCGGTGTTATTCGAAAGATAAAACATATTTTTTAAAATTAAATTAAATGGGTAGTTTATAAAACTAGCCGTGTAAAAAAAAAAAAAAATGTCTTAAATGCATAATATATATCTGTCCAAACCTGGAAGCTCCAATTCCTGATGAAAGCTGTCGATCCATCCTGCCTTAGCGTGTAATAGTTGCACATCAACTGTCGCGAAAAAAGGGAGGGAAAGTAAGACGATAAATATCGTAAACGAAATTTTCATCAAGTGAAATTTACGAATTTGCAACATTGATGAGGAAAGTCAAACCTGATGACCGTGGCCAATGTCAACCATCCACCATGCCATATTTCGCCCGTTCTCCACTCGGGGCCCGGCAAAAGATGTCCCCTTCATACAAACACTGTGTTTATTTAATACCTATCTATTATTAAAAAATAAAATATTTAAAAAAAAAAATTAAAAGTTTTGATTCCGGTGGATAAGTTATCGTTACCTGGTAACTCCTCGAGGCTAAAACCTTAGGATCGGTGAATCTGGAAATCGGGCTACTTGCAGTAACAAATACTCTCTGGGAGGTAATTGGTCAGAACATGTCAAGAAATTAATTACTGGTCTAGAGAGAGAGAATAGCATGTGAAAGAATATTATTTACCTTGGATAAAACTGGATTTACCCACTGATGTTGCCCATAGGATGTGCCTGCAAAGTACAAGACTCCATTGCTATCACCGTCGCATATATACTGGAGTTCTTTAAAACTTGATTTCCTGTGCTGGTATTTGCTGCAAATTGAGAATTTAATTAGTGTCACTAATAATTTACAAAATTCATTTTGTTTCTCTCGGGTTTATTTAAATTTATCTTGAAATCAAGAACTTGCAATTTTTTAGCGATTTGCATGTCTGAAAAATGGGCTAATACAAATAAGGGGCATCTGCCACTCGATATTCCCCCTTCATGCGAATGAGAAGCTTTCAGTGCAAGCTCATGATTTAACATGTAGTAACAGCATTCGTCTTCATTTATTTAGGTTATTACCACAACCTTTTGAACTTAAAGTAAGACTAACATGGGGAAATACGACAGGTATTTCAAGATTTACCCTCATAATTTAATACTTACTTTATATCATTATCACTTGCAGAAGACCCGAATTCCAAAAACCCAATGGCTTCTTTCACCTGTTAAAATCGGTTTTTAAGTAGATAGAAAAATCCAAATGGAAGAAGTACCATAAATGATAAAGACGACATACCAATTTACTGAGTGTAGGGATTCGCGTGCTGAGGTTGCTTCTCTCCAACTAAAATTGAACGAACAATTTAAGCATATTAGAAAATAGTCAGACAAACTTCTCATGGACTTGGTAGAAATTTAAAACAAAGGTTCATTCAGAGAGTACCTTTTGCAGAACTGAAGAAGACAGCAAAGGGAACCTCACAAAATTTAAAAATTCCTCGAGATACTTGAGCCTTTCACGAAAAACGCTTTCTGGTGCTGAATTCAGCAATATTTCATCTATTCTTTCCCATCCAAACAACTCTTTTCCTTTGCAACACCAAAGCAAGACTGCATTAAGAACTCGTTCTTCAGAAGTTACCGTCAAATCTTGATGCTGCAAACAAAAATTCTAAGCATGAGATACTGTTCCCAACAAATAGAGTCCGAAGCATCTCTCAGTGACAGACTTGTAAGCTTACCTAAAAAATAAATAAATAAATAAAATAAAAAAAACCCGGAAAAATTACCTGAAGAATGTTCCCAAATGTTGTCTCGTCTAACATGACAAAGTCGATGCTTGCGGTTGTGCAGTAATCAAAATTCATGGAAAATTTCCTCTCGCACGTTTCTTCAATTATTTTACAAGAAGATACCGACTGAACAACTAGCAAAATTTGGCACACTGAGTCCTGCAACAAAGTCCTACAGTTAGCCACACACAGAACAACAACCTAAAAGCATTGTGCCAAATTTGTCCGCTCTCCTCATCCAATAATCTTTGGCACAATACAAAAACTTGTAGAATGATCTTCTGCCAATAGAGAACTCCAAGCCTGCATGTAATATACATATAAGAGGATCAATTCAATTGTTTTTTTTTTTTTTTATCAAAACATGTCTCTGCCCGTCTTCACACAGCTGTTACTCCACCATTTTCTTCATACTTTTAACACTACTATTTCGAATTTCCAATAAAAGGGCTTCACTAAAGGAGTAAATCGTAATAAGACAAAATCTACCGTATTACCTCAGATAGGTGTTCTAAAAGTCGTTTACAGCATTCTTGATGAAGCTGCGAAACTCCAAACTGATCTGCCATTAGAAGAAGCTGAAGTAGCAACATATCGATATCCGTGACATCTTCTTGATTGATTTCACCACTGTACATGAAGTCGAGCATAATCTTGAATGTTTCAAAGCACACATCTTTCAGGAAGATCTTTGGAGACACACTTTCAATCATTCCATTTGTGAACATCTGCATATGCATTTTATCATATTAATTTCTTGACTAATATGCAGGTTAATTTGATATTGATAAATGAAAATTCATAAAATCTCGCCCTATGTCATGACTGTTACCTAGCATTGAGAATCTTTACTGAAGTACGATGTCACTCTTTAACATCTTTTTTTTTTTTTTCCTTAGCAAAAGTAGCAAATAAGTAAAAACTAATATTCTCCGTCAGATAAAACCTAACTTTATATGAGTCACCTAGTTCACTACCTTGGTAAACGGGGCACTCCATAAGCTAAGGATAATTCTATGCGACTGTGCAACAAGACCATGGCCTTCAATATAAATGTCCACGTCACTGTACTCACTGGTCAACCGAAAACTATTAAGCCGTTTGACATCAATGGGTAATCTGTTCAGGAACACAGCTGAGCAGTTCAGCCGAGCACTTGGATATGATATCTCCACACATTTTCCCGAGTCGAAAAGCTTCTTGTTGAGTTTAAAACGCTCAATCATCTCTTCACACTGTCTTACCAATGTATTCACTTCAAACCGTAAACTCAGATCTCTTAGAGAACTGAGAAGCGACTCAGGGACCTATACCGACAATATACACAGCAAAACTATCAGAAAACGTCAAATAACCCTTCAAGATGACTTTTACGAAATTAAAAAAGTAATAAACTTCAAATAATAAATGATAAGTTAAATCAAAAGTTTGAAACGTAGAAGTATCAAAAAGTTAACTTTTTCTCCAAGTCCATTTCCCAAGCTAGGCCGTAAGCATAAAAGAATTTGTTAAACCACAGTCCAGAAGTTGTTAGTTTAACTAGTGTTCTCAGTGAATAGGCAAACAAAATAGCACATTTGTTATAAGAATAAAAGGTAAATATAAATGCATAATCAGAACCTCATCTCCAACACAAAACCTACAAACAATAACATAAATAGAGCAGCTATTAGAAAAATGGAGAATACCCCTTGAAGAGGAACTTCAGGAAATTTTGAGCAGATGCAAACAGTTAAATACTTAAATTGAAACTTTCCAACAAAACTTTTCCTCTGAGCCCATTTTCTGAAACTAAGCCGTAAACATGACATAATACACAAAACCACCAAATACGTCAATCTGCAATTTTTCATATGAACAAAAGTCAACTTCATTAAAAAAAAAAAAAATACTAAATACAACTCACCTTGGTGTTACCCGTGTAGATATACTCGAGAAGCGCATGAACCACAATATACGAATAATCTTCCACCCGCACAACATTCTCCCCCGACGAGCTCAGCCCGAAATTCCCAGCCGCCGCCAGCACCACCTTATGCCCCGGCACTACCCTCTCCTCTTTCCCAACCAAAAAAACCAAATCCGAAAGCTCCCAACTCTCCAGAAAAATCCCGAGCCCCTGGCTCTCGAAATCCCCAACACAACCCCCCTCCTCAATCTCATCCTCACCATCTTCCGAATTCTTCCACAGAGAGGCGTGATTCCCCGTGAGCGGCAACATGCTAACGTTCCTGTACCCCACGTGTCGGTCCCAGCTGCTGAGCCCCACGTACTGCACGCTTCTGTTGGGGTTCGAGTCGAGCCACTGGAAAACGAGGTTCTGGAAAGGGTACCGTCCTTTGCCGATGCTAATAAGCCCATCGTACACACTTATCCAGTAACTCTGAAAGGCAGACGAGCAGTAGAGATCGAGGCCTACAACATCAACTGTAGTTTTGCCGTTGACCTCGATGTTTAGTCGCTTGTTTCGATGACTGCCGATTATGACTGTGTAGTGAGGGCTGTTGTCACGTTTGTAGTGGTAATGCTGGCTGCCCGTTTTCTCGCGGAAGACTACTGTGACATCGTTGTGGGCAAAAGCGTCAAAAGCCACACAGCCACGGCCAGCTTCCTTGAAACGGAGGTCTTCGAGCCACGCGCACTCGAATGGGGCCACTGTTAGAAATGTCTTCGGCTCTTTCTTCTCCATTTNTTTGGTCACTCTGCGCTTCTTGCTGTGCGGAAACAGGGATTTATAGGTGTGTTAGTAAAAGGGTTGTCATTTTTCGATTGTAGTGGGATTTAAGTGTAGGATATACACAAGAAATGGGAAAAGCATCAAGGGTTTGTAAAATGATTGGGGAAAACTGAAGAATGTTTAGACATTTGAGGCCTGTGAATGGTCTGAATTTATGGTGAACTGGGAATTTCGCAGGTAACTTTTGGCTCATAAAACTGTCTTAAGCGCCTGTGCATACTTTGTATATCAAATATTAGTTCATGTAACCTCATAATATATGGCGGCCTTATGTAAGCGCGCAAAGTATCTACATAGGATTTTGTTTAGTTGAAACAAATTAACATGAAGATAAAATAAACTAGAATTTGTAACATGAATCCAGCAGCATATGTGTGTGTTTCGGTTTTTTTTTAAATCTACAAACAAGAAGGGGCTAAATGGTTTTGAAATGGATTGGATAAGGAACAGAATAGGGCTAAATGGTTTTGAAATGGATTGGATAAGGAACAGAATCGAGTTCTAACGTTGAAGTATCAATAATACAGGTAGAGAACGGAATAACTTTCAAGAATAGTTAGATTGCTCAAACTATAAAATGCTAGAACTAGAAAATTTATAGAAGAGCTAAATACTTTAGTACATCAATTCAAAATCTTGTCCAAGTAAATGGAGCATCCATACAGATTTCAATTGCCAAAAGAACATAAGTAAACTAAAGAAAGGAAGAGAAAAATAGAGTGTATAAATTGCACCAACCAGCCTTCAACAGTGCCTAAAAAAAGCAAGTCTTGATAGAAGAACACAGAAGAAGAAAAGAGGAAATTTGGGTTGAGATGCAAATACAATAAAAAGTACTGATGCTATAAATAAGTAATAGACAACAAAGCATATATGAGATTTCACTATCACCTGAAGGAAAAAAATGGGCATGAAGGTCTTCAAACATATGCGGGCCGTCCCAATCTGATTAAAGCCCGTAAATCGCCAAAAGCCATCAAAACTGACACATGACAATAATAATTAAATGAATAAAGGTCAGCGTATGGATATCAGAACTCACAAACAAGCTGCAACCATTCTACACCACAGTTTCTTACAGAGGTACACGAAAAAATATCTTCCAAGGCAGAAAAATCCAATCTTAAAAGAATATAAAATGAATAAATTATTACATATGACGGTGAAAAATCAAGAAATGGGTACCCTATTTCTATGGATAAGCAAGCACCTTAAATTTTACGGATATTGAACTGAATAAAGAAAATCATATCCTCAAGAAACCATCGCCCTCAAAAATAGCAGCACCTTATCTATTACAAGACAAGATTTGTCAAGTCTATTAGAGAAAGAAACGAAAAGGGCTGTGAGTTGTGTGTAAATTTGTCAATCTGTAAACTGCAAAAGAAGAAGAAGAAGAAGAAAAATTCAGAGGTTTCGTAAAACAAAAGAGTGGATATTTTGGGAGTTCGAGTTTGATGATCCTATTAAGAATAGTCTCGGTCCTATTTTCTGGCGATAAAATGTAGCTAGGTGGCATCTCGTTGGAATTTTGAAATGAAAATGATCTAATTTACAGTTGCAAA